TTTGAGAAATAAAGATCACTTTTTTACTATAAACTAGATATCTAAGATAGGCTAATTACTATCACAGTGCCTGAATTAACAGGGAAATACAGGAATTAGTCTGTTATTTTGTTATATTTCAGCGTTTTAAAAATATCTTGCCATATTTTATTAAATACAAACAATTCAAATGATATTTAATAATATTTATTGTAATCGCTATTACATAATAAACAAGGTGATCTAAGATTTTTTTTCCATACTACCGAATCGACGAGCGATTACCGGATCGGCTTCACTTCGTCTAGGATTACTGGAATCGGTTCTAATTTTGTTATGAATGTGAACTTAATATTATTATCATCATTTATTTTGGCATGTATTTACAAACATAATCATTGATCTTTTATGAATAATGCAATATCGTCTTTACATTATATTTTTCAGGACATTTGTAAGAGGATTGTTTGAAATGACGGATAACGATAGGTTAGTTCAGTCTTTCTTTATGTTTACATAACTCAATTCTTTATTTCATAAAGTAGTCGATTTATAATTACATGCAATAATTTCTATTTGAATCTTTATTTAAACAATACAAACCTCATGAAATATTCACATGAAATCAATGTTTTACCAGGCAGTTAAATCGTACTTACTTGACAGTTCTTGGTCATTCAATCAAATCAATTGTTGTCATTTGCGTTAGTTGTGCATCATAAAAATATTACAAAGATTGCGAATTAAACACAGATTCTTTAGACAAATCATATATACCCGTAACGTATAAAACAGTGCGATATGGATGTTAACTATATACGCACAGATGTTACTGTCACTTTATTGGAAGTAAACGAGCTGTATATTGGGAGCTGTGTATTGGGAAGTGTGATATACTACAAAACAGTGGGGTTCCAATATACGGTATGCTGATATATTTCATAGTGGGAGGGACTATCTGTTAGAGAATGCCTGTTGTTCAGCAAGCTGTAGATGAATTTATTGAACTTCATAAAAGAATTTATTGAACTTCTTTAAAAGCTTAAGATTTGGTCAATGTAAAACCAAACAACAATATAAAGTATAGATCTTAAGATTCTTTTCAAAGTTTGGCATAATTTCTAACCGTTTGACCCATTTAGTTATTAATAATAAATGGAAGAAGATCCTTAAAGTAAAGGACTATCATATATACATGTAGTTATCTATGTCTCTGGCTTATGACACTGAATTAATAATGACATTTTCCGCGAACATCCCAAATAAACACACAATATTTTTTAAATGTGATGTATATACATTTTTTCATCTTTGATTAAATATAAACAAAATCAATGATATGTAATCAGATTTTTGTAAATAAAATCTCATTGATAAATGATTAATTAAACAAGATATTTGATATCGGCGAGTTACTGCCATACTGTCGGAATCGGTGAATGATTACCGAAATCGGCAAATAATTTGGTTATTAATGAAGATTTTTTAAAAAAAAAGGTTCTTGCATCTTTATACAATATAAATAATATCAACGAAATGTAAAAAAATGTAAATAAAATCGCTTTTGATTATTTAACTAGAGATCTAATATCGGCGAGCTACTGCCAAAATACCCGAATAACAATCCTTCCGACAGTATGGCAGTAACTTGCTGATCTAGCTCTTGTTTAATTAATAAAGCGTGATTTTGTTTATAAAAATCGTTGTACATGTCATTCATATTGTTTGTATTTAATAATTTTTAAAAAGTTCATAAATCAAATTACTGGCCGATTCCGGTAATAATTCCACGATTCCAGCAGTATGACAGTAACTTGCTGATCATAATTAAATCTCTTGTTAAATGAATCAAATGTGTTTTTTTTTTTTTTTATAAAAATCTTATTACATGTCATTACTGTTTATATTTTATAAAAGATTCAAGATTTTTTTTAAAGTTCATGAATAACAAAATTACAGGCCGATTCCGGTAATCATTCCTCGATTCCGGCAGTATGACAGTAACTCGCTGATCTTAAGTATGTTGCTTAATTTATCGTAAGCGATTTTTATTTATAAAAATATTTTTACATGTCATTAACATTGTTTATATTTTATATAAGATGCAAGATTTCTTTTTAAAGTTCGTGAATAACAAAATTACAGGCCGATTCCGGTAATCATTCCCCGATTCCGACAGAATATAAGATACTCAAGTTACTCGACAGTATGGCAGTTACTCGCTGATCTTAGATCTCCTGTTTAATAAATTAGTTATGAACTTTGGATCAGATCATTTTGATCACTCTTTTTCTCAGTGGAGTTCCTTTTAAACTGTAAAGGAGACTTCATTTTCATACAGATTTTGACAATTATTCTAACTTTTTCAATACGGAACTCCTAACTATTTATCATAATCCTTTACTTTAAGGATCTTCCATTTTTTATTAATAATTAAATGGGTCAAATGGTAAGAAATTATGCTAAACTTTGAAAAGAATCTTTAGATCTATACAGGGTGTTTAAGAGCCTTAAAAAATTTTGAAGTTCAATAAATCCTGTGACTTAATTCATCTACAGCTTGCTTAACAACAGACAGTCCCTCCCACTATGAAATATATCAGCATACCATATATTGGCACCCCACTGTTTTGTAGTATATCACACTTCCCAATACACAGCTCCCAATATACAGCTCGTTAACTTCCAATAAAGTGACAGTAACATCTGTGCGTATATAGTTAACATCCATATCGCACTGTTTTATACGTTACGGGTATATATGATTTGTCTAAAGAATCTGTGTTTCAACGATTGACTAATTCGCAATCTTTGTAATATTTATATGGTGTACCAATAACGCAAATGACGACATTTGAGTTGATACTCCAGAATGACCATGAACTGTCAAGTAAGTACGATTTAACTGCCTGGTAAAACATTGATTTCATGTGAATATTTCATGAGGTTTGTATTGCTTAAATAAAGATTCAAATAGAAATTATTGCATGTAATTATAAACCGACTACTTTATGAAATAAAGAATTGAGTTATGCAAACATAAAGAAAGACTAAACTGACCTATTGTTATCCGTCATTTCAAACAATCCTCTTACAAATGTCCTAAAAAATATAATGTAACGACGATATTGCATTATTCCATAAAAGATCAATGATTATGTTTGTAAAAACATGCTAGAATAAATGAAAATAATTATATTAAGTTCACATTCATTACAAAATTAGAACCAATTCCAGTAATCCTAGACGAAGTGAAGCCGATTCCGGTAATCGCTCGTCGATTCGGTAGTATGGAAGAAATCATAGATCACCTTGTTTATTATGTAATAGCGATTACAATAAATATTATTAATAATCACTTGAATTATTTGTATTTAATAAAATATGGCAAGATATTTTTAAAACGCTGAAATATAACAAAATAACAGACTAATTCCTGTATTTCCCTGTTAATTCAGGCACTGTGATAGTAATTAGCCTATCTTAGATATCTAGTTTATAGTAAAAAAGTGATCTTTATTTCTCAAAAAAATCTTTTGATATCAATGATATTATTTGCATTTAATAAAATAACATAGAAAATAACTATATTACAGGCTGATCCCGCCCATCCTTCCCCTATATCGGCAGTATGACAGTAATTCGCCGATCTTAGGTCTCTTGTTTTATTAATTAATCAAAAGCGAATTTACTTACAAAAATGAATATCGTTGAAAATGTTTATATCTTATAAAAACATGCAAAAGAAATATTTAAAAAGTTCACAAATAACCAAATTACAGGTCGATTCCGGTAATCCATCGCCTATTCCGACAGGTTTCCCGTTTTTGCCGATCTTCAATATTAATCTTTTTATTATTATATTACAGCGTTTTTCTATAAATCTTTTGCTTCTTATTTAATACCGATTTCAATAAACATTATAAAAATCGTTTAAATTGTTTGTATTTAATAAAATAATTCAAGGTATTTTTAAACGTTGAAATATTGGTGGGGAAAAACAGACCGATTCCGGTAATTGTCCGATAACCCTGACACTGCATATATGCGATATGGCAGTAATTCGCCGACCTTAGATCACTAGTTTATTATTTAAAAAGGATTCTTCATTTTCAGAAATCTTTTTAGATATCTATTATATTGTTTGCATTTTTTTCTTGAAAAGTCCACAAATTACAATAATACAGGCCGATTCCGGTAATCATTCGCCTATTTCGGCAGTATGACAGTATATGTAACTCGCCGATCTTTGATCTCTTGCTTTATTAACCAAAGGCGAATTGAAATTTACAAAATAAAAGAAAGAAAGAAACTTTCAAATATCATTCATAATATTTACATTTTATAAGACGAATATTAACAATGCAACAGAAACGTTAAAAAGTACAATAGACTAAATTATACGTCGATTCCGGTAATCCTTCGCCGATTCCGACAGTATGGCAGTAACTCGCCGATATTAAATATCTTGTTTAATTAATAAAAAGTGATTTTATTGACAATAATCAGATTACATATCATTGCTATTGTTTATTTTTAATCAAAGGTGCAACAATTTTGTTAAAAGTTTAAAGATAAGCAAATTACAGGCCGATTTCGGTAATCCTTCGCCGATTCCGGCAGTTTGCCGTTTTCGCTGATCATAAATATTTGTTTATTATTATTATTTAAAAGCGATTTTTTCACAATCTCTAGGAAGGTTAATGATAATATTTAGGTTTTATAAAAACATGCAAAAGGAACATTAAACGTTGCATAAACAACAAAATAACAGGCCGATTCCGGTCACGGGCAGTTTGGCAGTAGCTCGCCGATATTAGATCTCTTATTAAATTAATCAAAAGCGACTTTATTTATAAAAATCTTTTCATAAATCATTGATATTGTTTATATTTTATAAAATTGCAAGAAAAAACTTTAAAAGTTTAATTATTACAAAGTTACAGGTCGATTCCGGTAATTCACCGCCGATTCCGGTCGATTCCGGTAATTCGGCCGATTCCGGTAAGTCGTGTAACCCAGCTTTTGCCAATTTATAACATTTGATGATTTTCAAGTTATTTGCATATGAGTGTAAGAAGATATTCTTTACATGTGCACACAAAAAACAGAAGAGAAAATGCCTTAACATGTTAAGGCAGCTTCGATGGTGGAGATTCTAGGAATAAAGATTGAATTAAACAAAGATATCCACCTGTTACTTATTAAAACCCATAAAAATTTCCCTAATTTATACATCTATATAATGACTTTTGTAATAAATAATCTCATGTAGCAATCAGACAAGTCACACACAGTTTAGATGGGCCGATACAGTCATCATGACAGAATGCCCCACATTTTGTACATGTTTTCATCCCCTTCAAATTGCAGGCACAATTCGATGAAGACGACTCGCTTTTCGATACTTGCAAAGTCAGCGTGTTCGAAGATTGCACTGCAGTACTTTTAACACTTCCATTTATAGATTGTTCAGGGGATACAACTAAAACGTTTTCTTTTGTAGACTGGTTTGAAATTTGATTACCCTTTTTATCTACACTTATTGACGGAATTACTTTCACAGTCTGGGCACTGCTTCCATTGAAACCAGGAGTGTGTATGACACCTCCGGTAGGTGAAATTACGACTTGGTTACCACTTGACGACAAAAACACTTGCTGGGAGCCTGATTTAGACCCGTTTACTCCTGGAATGAGAGCAGTGCCCGCTTTCGCTAAAAAATTCACTTGATCTGAAGGTATTTGCAGTATAATATCACTAGGCACTGAAGATTTTTGCGAAGCATTTGTTTTAGACTTGTCCATTTCCTCTAATGAACCCGCACTTGTTCCTACACTAGCAGATCTAACAAGAGTGGTTACAGGCGTTGCAACCCGTGTCACAACTTTTTGCTGTGGAGGAGCACTTGCTGCTCGTTGCTGTGAAAGTACATTGGTTTGAGACCCAGCAGCTGAACGTATTAACTGCTGGAGCAGATTTTGCTGCGCGGCCGCTGCTGTTGAACTGATTACATATCGTGTTGAGGGAACACTAAACACAGCTGGGGATATCCCAGTTGCTTGAGTCACTGTAGGGGGTGGTAACACAACAAAAGAGACATTTGAAGTGTTCAACGTTGCGGTTGGCACATTTGAAATGATAGGCACATTTTGAACTGAGGTAGGAGGTATAGTTATCACTGGAGCAGAAACCTCCATAATTTTCGGTTGCGTTACATTTTGAGTTTTGCTCCTAGCATTAGTAACAGCTTGGGTAAATTTCTGTATTTTTTGCTCGGCTAAAGTTTTATCTTGCAAAATCTGTGACACAGTTTTATGTGCCTGTGCAATATCAGCTTTTAAATATGAACCAAAGAGATTATCACTTGCGCTTGACTTTGACAAACTTGTAACTGGTTTAACAACAGTGTGAACTTGGGGTTTCTGTAGCATTGACACATTGGGCATTGAATATTTCTGACTCATTATCTTTGCTTGTTCACAAATTTCAAGCGATCTTTTCAAATTCACACCATCGGCAGTCTTTTCTATGTCTATTACTTTGGTCTGCTTAGGCCGTCCTTGAGTGGGGACAACAATACTTGAAAGCGGTCTAACAATAGTCTGTGCATTTGGAGAATGACCTCCTCTGGCCTTTGCCAACAAATGTGCATGAAGTTTGGCTTGGGCCTCCACTTGCTGTTGATGGACATGGACATGAGCTTTGGTCTCTGCTTTAATTTGAGCAAGTGTTCTGGTCTGACCTTGAACTTTTGCTTTTGCTGCCTGTGTCTGAGATTTAATTTGAGCAAGAGTTCGAGTTGGTGACCTCAGACCAGACCCTGTAACGGGTGTCGATACATTCACAACAATAGGCTTAGTATGAGGTTCTGTTCCTGGGGAAATTGTCTGTGAAACAACTGATGGTATATAATTACTAGTGACTTTTCCGATCATTTTACCCTCCGATTTCTGCATGCGCGCGACTTGCGTTTGTGCTCGAATTTGAGCTAATGTTTTTGCCTGAGCCTGCGCTTGTATCTGTTTCTGAGTTAGAACAACTTTTTGCCGCTTTGGTGGACTAACAGAGGAATTACTATCTTCATCTTGACTTAAAACAGGTCTTTTAATAGCACTAGCCTGCACAATTCCTTGCTCACTACCAGGTGTCTGAGATTTAGATGTTTGTAATTTCATTAATAATCCCATTTCTGAGCGTGAAACAAGACTACCCGAGGTGCTATAGCCCTGTACAGTTTGATGTATAGATCTTTGCTTAAGCATGGTTGATACAAGAGTTGACTTCTTCACTGACGATACCCTTACAGGATGTGATGTCACAGTTGGTGAATCTCCGCTAGATGATTGATGAATATCATCAGCTTTTGGAACATCAGAGATACATCTGAAATAAAAATACAATTTTAAGTATGGTAATTCCATTCTGTTTAACATCTTTCTAGTACATGAATAGGCATTTTTTTCTAACATGAATACAAAATAGTCTTGCACCTTATATCCAACAATGCCGGTTGAAACGGGTGATGCTCCCCGAATAGATTTTGGACACAGGAAGGTATACATCTTGTAGTGTCAGAGTTATGTCACAGACAAAGTTCAAAGTGAAATAACAACCCAAATGTTGCGCGTGACACATTGTCTCAATATGGTGATCATTTCTGTGAAATAGTTGTAAAATCCAACTTCAAATAACGAAGTAATAGGCTGGATACGATTTTGCTGCAGGGTCATGCTGTGACCTTGACCTTTAAGGTAGCAACACAAATGTTGCAGGTGACACATCGTCTCAATATGGTGATCATTTCTGTGAAATAGTTGTTAAATCTGACTTCAAATAACGAAGTTATGGGCCGGACACAATTTTGCTGCAAGGTCATGCTGTGACCTTGACCTTCAAGGTAGCCACCAAAATGTTGAGCGCGACACATTGTCTCAATATGGTGATCATTTCTGTGAAATAGTTGTAAAATTCGACATCAAATAACAAAGTTAAGGACTGGACACGATCTTGCTGCAAGGTCATGCTGTGACCTTGACCTTCAAAGTAGCGACCCTAATGTTGCGGGCGACACGTCATCTCAATATTGTGATCATTTCAGTGAAATAGTTGTAAAATCAGACTTCAAATAACAAAGTTACCAGCCGGACACGATTTTGCTGCAAGGTCATGCTGTGACCTTGACCTTCAAGGTAGCGACCCAAATGTTGTGCGTGACACATTGTCTCAATATGGTGATCATCTCTGTGAAATAGTTTTAAAATCAGACCTCAAATAACAAAGTTATGGGCCGGACACAAATTAGGGACGTACATATGGACAGCCCGACGACTATATGCTCCCTCGAAGATTTTTCAGGGAGCATAACAACAAAACATAATTGTGGCATTGTAGAACTTAACCTGCTGTATTTGTGTAATGGATTCAAATCCAACTTATATTTCGAAACAGCCGGGTATTAAAATTTATCCCAAACTCGATGTATTTTGGTAAGCAAAGTGTTATACTTTACTCTAAACAAAGAAATAACAGGTAAAAGAAAATATAAATGTACTCACTTTTGACCCCAAACAGGCTCAAAATGCTTTGCCTGGAAGAGAAATACAAATTTATAGAAATAACAAGTAAGCAACATTCAATCAAGAACATACAAAAGTGACCAGTTATAACCAAACTTTTTTTATTTTATCAGAATTTTTATCTTGAAAATCAAGGCAAACTTTTGTATAAAGAAAGAAAAACAGTGATTTATTTAATTATCTTGCTACACAATAATTCAGAAAATGCTGTCAAGCCCTTATAAACTGACCATGTGTTGAAGAGGTTAAGTAAGTAATGAACTCTGTTCATATTTTCTATTTTTGGTAAAAAAGTCACCTCTAATTATTAAACCCTGTTTATGAATCAGTAAAGCTGGCAGATATTATTTTCTTAGTACATACATAAAAGTTTAACATTATATAATTTGCATGACATTTATGACAATTGCAAAGCACAGTATCACTGATCTTGGATTTTCAATGCAGGAACACAATATTAATCATATGACAACTTTCCAGCTTTACTGGTGGAGGAAGACCTTGGGTGCTCTTCTTCCAGTTTTCTGTATGCTAGCTGGATAGCTTCCTTACATGAAAGAATCCAAAGTTCACGTCAAGATTCAAACCCACAGTGGTGAGGGGTAAGTGGTTTGAAGTCAATGACCTCACTCAACCATGAGGCCTGCTTCACATAGTGATGGAATGATCTGAAATTTTCCAGTCATGTTACGTAAAAAACCCTCAGTGGAGTGCCTATAAGTTAAATATCGTACCTTCCAGGGGTCCAGCTTCACTTGCTCCTTCTCCTCCTCTTGTTTCAATCGTTGCTGACTTTCTGGTGTAAACTCACCTGTACATTATACAAAAATTATATATCAATATCATGTTATATAATCAAATATTACTGTAATATCAGCCAAATTAATATTTCAGTTTAAAGCAGCACGCCTTCAGAGTAGGGTGACAAGACTTTTAAACTGTTCATGTTGAATTCTACTGTTTATTTTTCTTTTGTTTTTCTCGAAATCCTTGTCAAGTCATGATCAGGGGATCAAACTTTAAATTGGGTAAAGTCATTTTCACAATTCTCCTCAGAGTAAAGCTTAATTAAAGTTATATTTTTAATTTAAAGCTACATTAAATAAATATGTAAAAATATTTTGCCGTCGGCCTAAAAATAAAAAATTCTACAGTTTCATTAACCTGTTTAACAGTATTGTTGTAAATCTCATCAAATATTGTTCATAAATTAGGATTTTAAATGGAAAACCCCATGGTAACACTAAAGTTCGTATACGAATTTTAACATGCAAATGGCGACTATAATCAGCTCGTGTATGCGCTACGTCACAGTTTTATAGTTGCTATATGATATTTTCTTGTGCAAATGCACTTTAACCGTTTAAGCTTCACAGTGCACTAAGCCTGGGGTTCAGTGAAAGTAATCATCTCGTAAAAAGATTAAATTTGTATGAAAACATCCGTTACAATGCGGATATATACCGTTAAATTAGGACTGCTACTTATAGTCATGTTTGTTGATTTAATATTGATGTACGGATGATCCGAAGGCGGAGTTTCTCATGCAAAGAGAAATTGTACTTCCCATTTCGCCACAATGAGGTTACCCATTTGTATGCTAATTGTCTGGACACCAAAATAAGACCTGGAGTCGATATAAAACCTAATTTATTAATGAAATGTCGCTATTTAGTTTTTTATGAAATTTATTAAATGTAGCTTTAAGTGTAAATGGTTGAAAATAATGGCACCAACCTTCTGACAGCCTTTCTCTCCATTCTGTACAAGCTTTAGCAAAAAACTCATTATTAAGAGCGGTACTGCTCAACCTGAAATAGAAATTTTTTAAGCAACTTTTAAATACTATAAACAGCACCAGTGTCCTATATGCCTATTAGTATCTATAGCTTTTGTTAAAAACTGATTTTTAAAAAAATCTTTTCCCCAGAGTTGAATGTGTCATACAGTCACATTGACAGACTGAGGCATTGTGTTTTTTCCTCTCTTTTTTTACCAGGCAACTGCTACAGCAAATGCCCAATAACCCTTGCCTGAAATTATTCATAACATCTGGATAGTAAGTAAGTCCGGACTATTTCAGTTGACCTTTTTTTCAACAGCTTATATTCTCATTTTTATCTACTGTATCAAGCTTCAGCCATGCAGTAGCATTTTATTCTCTATAATAAATTTTATTCTCTTTATTTCTCTTATGTCTCCTGGTTGAAGTTTTTTTTCTAAATCAATGAATAAATCATTGGTAATAGCCATAGTAGTGTCATGACATCTGACACAATTATCTTAGCAATCATTATTTGTTGTATGTGTTAAAACCAACAAGAACTGTATGTAGGACAGCATGCTTGACTATTCTCAGTGTTTGATGGTAAAACAAGAGCCTGGATAATATTCAAAAAGGGCCATAATTCTGTCAACATCCATTTCAGAGTAATGGGCCTTGAGTAATGGGCCTGGAACAGTGACCTGCTCTGAAATATTTATGTGAAGTTTCAACCCATTGTCTTTAGTGTAAACTTAATCAATGTGTGATGCCGAAGCCTGGGCGAGTACAATAACTCTCCCTATTCTTCAAATAGTCAACCTCAAAATGACTACTTTAAATTCAAAACAAACCATCTCAGAAAAATTGTAATAACTCTGTAGACATACATGTTTGAACTTAAACTTACTTTCAGAGTTAAATGAGACTTGAAGTTTTTATTGTCTAAAACTATTTCATAATGTAACTACATTAATCTCCTGAAACATGATATTCTAGCCATCAAATTACTATTCCTGATATCCCACTCATGCCAGCCAAGTGATATAGACAATGAGTTGGCTAACTGATTAACTTGTATTATATAAACAAGAAACTCACCTGAGGGCACTGTCCTTCCCAACAATTCTATCACACTCTGGCAACAATGTAATCAACTTGTATTGATAATTTGCCGGCAGAGAGTTAAAGGTGTGTTTTGTCAATAAACCCTGAATTAATGAATAAAATATTTCTATATCAAGTGACACTTCATTCCTGAATCCTTTCAGGACTACATTGATTAAATATGAAATTAGAAATATTTATATGTCCTAAATACACAAGTATTCAGTTAAATGAATTATAAATAATTTAAAAAAATTCAAACCTCTTAGTTTAACTTCAACAACAAAAGAAGTAACAATGATACTAGACATGCAGCTTATAATAGCTTCATTGCCTATCTTAATAAGACACACTAACACATTGTTCAATTTATTGGACATACTGCACCCAACACTATAATTATTAACATATGATTATTAAACCTTAACCAAATTATTACATATACATGCTTATAAAATGAGTTAATTGAATTTTAGAATACAGGTTTACTTCTTTTAAGGAATCAACCAATGCTTTGGCTGGTGTCAGGTTTAAAAGTTCTGTAAGTGTATTTCATGATAATATCTTGTTCAGACCTATGCTATAAAATCTTATACAGACCTGTGTATATACAGATCATGGTATTTAAGAGAAAAATGTTTGAGAGTAAAAATATTCATTGCAAATTATGCAACATCTATATATCTAAATAAAACGAGCCATCATATCTCACCCGAAGGTTTGTGTTAACCAGTATTGAGTCTGGAGTTTCTAGATCTATACATCCCTCCATAGTTTGGGCAATCTGTGCTGCATGACTTAACTTCTTGTTAGTGCGCTTCCTTGGCTGAAATATATAAAATACTAAACTGAACCAATAGTTCTGTTAAAGGAATAGGAATGGATGGATTGATGTCTGTCTAATATAAATATTCATCATTTAAAAAGAGGTACCATGACAGTTTTTCTGTTGAAATCAATCCTATAAGTGAGAAATTTGTGTTTTAAGACACTATTTTTTACTTGAGAAATAAGTTCATGGGCGCCGCCATTTTGGCGTTCTGTCATTCTCGCGAGACAGACGAGACCGAGAATGTGACGTGTTACACCCACTTCCGGTATAGGTGTACCCGCTGGTACAACTGAAATATATCTTGATGAAGAACTTATTAATCTTATTACGTACATTATATATATTATTTATGAATACATCATATGAAACTGAATTGCTTTAATTAATTAATTGAAGACGCCGCGACATTAATTATCATTTGTCCGATTTTCAAGCTTGCTGATGATCCCACCACATGATTTAAGCAATGACTGCTAAATTTTCAAAGATAAACCATCAATTTAATTTTGATACTGTGCGAAACTTCTTCAAATTGACGATATATCCTTTTATTTTGTACTTAATTTTCGCTAGACAAGCTGTCCGAATAGGGTACATCGCCGGTCATGTACTAGTATCTTTTTTTTTCAGCGTAAAATATCAACTGCGATCTGCTGAGGACGCGATTTTCAGCCATTGACGCTAAAAATGAGAATGGCACAGGAAAATCGGCAGCCAGACTAATATCGTATGAAAACAAAACTGTCCGTTAGGGTATTAAGGCACCCAGTCAAAACTGGTACCAACAGCAACAGGTTGCCCATTCCCCTGTCATTACGCATATTCTCGGGTTTATCCAGTTCCTTATAGTTTTTTTCCACGTTATCTACTTACCCAATTCCTTTTCCACACAGATACGCATTTCTACTACCGTAAATTTAATCCAATGAAACAAAACATCATTAATCTACTTAATATTCAAAATGATTATTGGTAACTGAAAAAATGTGTTGCTATTTTATGACATGCTGTAATTTACAGTATAATTTGATAGGACCTGTGTGGAACTTAATTTCCCCTAAGGTCATTCAGTTCACTGATGAAGCGTAAAAAAATAGATGTCTATTTCGTCATTAGAATATTTGACAAGGGTGATTAACCAATCAGGGCAACATTGTGCATGATCAAAAGGTCTGTCGGCACAGAGGCATACAAGGAGCAATAAAAATCGTCAGTACACAGTGTGACAGGTACATTTGGTGCAAATTAGGAACAATTAAAATGGACAATGCACAGTATTAGACATAAGTAGTAAGAACCAGCAATTGTGTGAATAAATTATGCAAATTAGATTTTTGAGCAGCCAATAAAAATGTTTTGCCTGCAGTTAATATTAGGCTACGATAACGATGCGCAGCTTCATACGTTGACAGACGTTAACAATTTACTTTTCAAAAGAATTGCTTATATTTTTGAAATGTCTACATCAATTATAACATATGTTCACACCTTTTAATTTGAAAGTCAGAATCAAACTACATGTACTATTAAGAACACGTTTTAGTAGGATTTTAATAATAATGGTAATTATCGCCGTTCAATAATTAACAGCCAATTATTCGTTGGTGCGTTTGTTTATTTAATTGCATTATTTGATTGTGAAACTTTGTTAAATAATAAAATGTGTATTTATTAAATCTCTGAAATATTGTTTAATTACATTAAGATGAGACTTTAATGAACATAGCATTGTTTGGAGTAACGTTCGGGCATCACTGGCCTGAAGTGGTGCGACCGGTAGACGTTGATTTGTTTTGTTTCTTAATTTTTTATTGTTTTTTATTTTTTGGATATTGTTACGTATTTGAACCATAAAAAAAATCTCCTCTACACCTCCTGTGAAAATTAAATTGTCTGGTCAGTACTTCTTCCGATTCAACTAGATTTATCATAAATCTAAAGATGTGGGGAAATGACATCACGCGCACCTGTTTTTATACGGCCAATACACAAACATGGCCGCGCTTACTGATTTGTAGAAATCGGTGATTTAGCGATTTAAATTTTGTTATCATTCGTTTAATATTATTATTTGGCAGCAGAAAATTTGCAGATTTATTATTTATAGTATTCTTTTTCTGAAATCAAGTTTTTATTCTAACCTTGTCTTTCCCTTTAAAGATGACTCAATTCGATCAAAATAAACTCTTTGAAGCTTTACTAAAAAAAGCTGCAATCTTTGACACCAATATCAAGCCGCCTCTGTGCAGTCTGGCCAGGCTCTATGAAGGTGATAGCACTTTCTTTGATTTTTATATTGAAACCCTTTAATCTATGAATGAACTGTTCAAAATTCAAACCAGGGCAAAACCATGATAACACAAATTTGGCGCTGCAGGTATAGGGTTCAAAAAGTTACCCGAGCAAGACTTAAAGTACACATTTATCTTTTTTAAACATACTTACCCCGCTACTTCTGTATTTGTATAATGGACTAGTCCTGCCTTGAATTTGGATCTGTCCATTTATTTAACAGTATAGTTAAGCCAGACCGGTTCGAAGCCCAGTAATTATTAGTTTATACATAATTAATTTTAGTCTCGTTACATAGGAAGCTATATACTTACAGATACAGTCTCTAATCAGTTCTTAGAACCAACCAGTACTGAGCAATTTGTGTAAAGTTCCATCTCCTAAGCTGTTAACATAAATTCCTAAAGGTTGATATTTGAACCTTTGCTAACTTAAGTTTAAAGCAAAGTGTAGCAATTCACATTATTTAGTTCATACATGTAGACATGATAGTAACAAGTAAATAAATATGTCAATGTGTTTTCCTTCCTTACCTTCATACTAAAACCAGGGATGCCTGCTAACATCTCTCTCAGTGTTTTCTTCCTGGGTTCACCATTGGTGATGACCCCTGTTTGACTAGACGGTCTCCGCAATCCAGACTGTGTGCCGGCTACATTTAACTTTACACCACCACTAGAGTCTTTATGATTGTTTAACTGTATTTTAGACACAGGTCTGGAGGTTGTAGCAACATATCGTACTTGCGTTGTGCTGCTTGATGATTTACCCTCTACAATTCAGAATGACAATGAATTTGACCTTGTTTTAATACATTTAAAGTCGATCTTGTTTTAATAGATTTATAAATGCAAAGATAATTTCTTAATAGAGATTGACATTTAGAAGAATTATATTAAATGCTTTATAATAAAATGTAAATCACTAAATTATTGACCTATAAATGAAAAAAACAAAACAACATCTGTTGTTGGGAAAATGTAACAGTTCACATAACAAAAATATGATTCATCTACCACCTTGTACTTTTAATATCAATTATAAACATTCTACAATTTAATTGTATTCAGATCCATCTTCAGGAAAAAATTAACCACCTGGAGTTTTTTCTTCATTTATTAATAAAGCATATAAAGCAACAGATGTTTTGTTACATTATGATTTTTGTTAATCATGAACATATATTCTTGACATTAAGAATATAAAAGTTTTCATTGCAGTTAAAAACATTACAGCTAGTACAGTACATTGTGATTTCCCTAGCAGCAGATCAAATAATTTGCACAGCTAAAGGCTCAACTGAAACCTATGGGTACCATACATAATTTTAAACAACAGAGAATATAATTGATCTAAATGGAATTATTGGATTCATTTTACAACTACTAACAAGATCACATTTGCAATCTGCCTTAATGTTTGCCAATAAAAAGAAAATTTCAAATCCGGACAGACATATTTTCTAGCATATACTTTTAATTTGTAGACAGTCATATTGC